TCCCCCTCTATTGAATGAACTGCATAAACAGTCCTAGGAGTAGAGACCAGACTCCACAATTCCTTTTTCACTTGGCTACAGTCAGGTTCTTCTTGCTCATACTCTGGTCCTAGGATTAGCATGCCCCTTTCTGCAGTTCTCAGTTTCAGCAGAATCACTGAAAAATAAGCGCAGACCCAGAGTCTAACACTTACGTTGCTTCTTAGGAAATTCTTTCAATCCTTTCATGCTGAGGACCACCAAGTCCAGGTGAGCACTTCCCTGAGAAGTGGTTAACTACAACAAATCACTCACTTTCCACAAAGGGCAGATTTGGCCTTCTCAGTCCGGTCACTAATTTATCTGGCTCCTCTCTCTCTCCTGTAGATAAACGTAGGTCAGGCACATGGGAAAAGCAATCCCAATTTCAAAAATAAAATGATGGGCTCTGGGCTGGCTCAAGAACAAGATGGGGAGCTCAGCGGTGGTAGTACAGAGGAGCACAAATCAGATGAGAAAGCACATCAGAAAGCATCATTACACCACTGTAAAATAGATGCTGTGTTTATTTCTGCTCCTGCTCACTCCATCTTTTGGGATCAAGGTGAAAGAAGGGAGAGGCTGGTAGGAAAATGAAAACCTCCCAGGAAACACCTGTGTGAAGACAGACATGCTGGAAGCTGCTTAACCTACCACCATCCTGTGTTGGGAGTACTCAAAGAGTTTGCAGTGCAGAAATTTAAGGGCAAATGACACAGGTGAGCATAGGCTGCCCTCCCACAAAAATCACTTCAGATGAGAAAAGGCCACAAGACCTCACCCAGTGAAGCCACAGGGGATATGGCAAGAAGGCAATGATGCTATGTGCTAGGCAAGAAGCATGCCCACCTGTGAGAGTTTAACCCCCATAGATGTATGTTCGACCTTTACCTGCCCTTGATCTAGCTGGCTGTCCTCCGTCCACCTTCCCGCCTTTGGTGCTTTAAAATCATTGACGGAGGAGTAACACATGTCCTGAAAACTGTGAACTGCCAATCATATGGAACATTTGAGAAGGAATCAAAATCCACTCAATCATGGGGCAGATTCATACTCCTGCCAACCGTAGAGCTGTGTTAGGACCTGGTTTGCCTAGGCCCACACACAGGTCTTGCCTATAAAACAAGCGTCTGGGTGCAACGCCTGGGTGTCAGTGGTGTTTAAGATGACAGAGAAGATCGGCACAGCGCCTGAAGAAAAGAAGCGGCGGCAGCAACAAGCCGGAGCTGACTACTCACAGAGCGAAATCACTGAGAGTCTTCGGCTCGTCAAGTTAAGTCACATAGGCCAGCAGCCAGCTCTTAGGCTCAGGAAGGCATCCATCCAATCAGCGGTTGGAGGACAGTCAATGTAAGGATAAGGCACTAGAGGCAGCGAATCAGCGCTCGCTAGCACCTGCCCCACCTCCAGGGTCAGGATGCCGAATCAGGATTCACCCTTTGGATCCTAACATCACTTGCATTTGGTCATGGGAGTGAACCATCTACATGATAAATGTGTACAGCATATTACCAGGGAATTAACACACCCCACCTGGTGTGACTTGACTGGCACATGGGTTCTATCCCAGGGGTCAGCACACCACTTTCAGTGTGGCTTGACTATTGTGCGGGTTCCATCCCGCGAGGATCAGCACGCCTGCCCAGCGTGACTTGATCAGGGCAATCGCTCCCCATTTCTAAACCTTCACCTTTATTTCTGACTTGTTACCCCTGTGATGTGTCACTAATCGTGTATGTATTGTTGATTTAACTACTTATTTGCTTTCACTACTTCCATTTACGATTGGAGCTCCTTGTAAATATAGGTGTAAATAGTTAATTGTAGAGTTAAGATAAGCAGTATACTACCATTATAAATAATACATTGTTCACTCATTTATTGGTTACTTGTTGGGGCTTTGTGAATTGTAAACCCATCCATCCGAGTAGCAGAACCCTTCCTATACCGCTTAAACAGATCCATTGACTTTGGAAGTTCACTGTTTAAATAAAGTTGTTTAACATGCCTTTCAACTGGTTTGGTCATCCTGCTGCGTTAAACCGTTGACATCACTCCCACCACACATGGGTCAGGACTTCTACAGCCTTGGAGCTGCCTAACAGAGTTAGCCTCCAGCACATCAAAGAGGGGGGGACTCCATCACCCATATACGTGGGGACTGAGGAGGAAGGAGCGTTGTGTAGCAAGGGCTCTGTACAGGCCTTACCTCTCCTCTGTCCAAAGTCGCCATGGCAGGTCTGGTTACCATAAAATGCTTCTGGGTTCTGTAACACTCACGCAACCCAGAGTTCTAAGGAAACAGCTCTTTGTCTGATATAAGAAAGAACCTGCACGTTCTTCACACAACATCAGCTCAGCAGCACTCAAAATGCAGCTTTATGGAAGAAATTACTAGGAAAGGAAATCCAGAACAAAACAGAGAATCCACTGTTATGGTGCAATCTTGAACACTGGTTCAAGTTCAGATTCTGCCTTCTCCTTCCCCAAGAGGGTATAGTAGAACTGGAGAAAGGACAGAAAGGGTAAACAAAGTTGACTGAAGACACACAGCAACTTCTGTAGAAGAAATGAGTAAGTAGATTAAGATCTTTCCACTTGAAAAAGAGATCACTAAATGGGGATAAGAGAAAATCTTAGCTGATGTGAAGAAGAATACAAAAACCAGAGACAAATGAACAAATGGAGGTGTGGTGGCATGTTCAGAAACAGGCTGTTCTTCATACAAATTGTAGCTAAGCTGTGAACCACCTTGCCAAATCTAAGGCTAAAAGCAGACTGTCTCAGGGGATACTGGTCACACTTGTGAACTAAAATTCCTTTGAAACTTACAACACAGAATCCATCTGTAATTCAAGAAGAAGTCCTTTAACTGAAGGCAATTGCCAAAGACTGGTGGGGTATTCCAGGGAAGTATCATTAAGTAAGCTCTGTTCTTATACTCTTCCCTAGATGCCCATGATTGGCTTCTATCAGAGACAGACTAGAGGAACCTTTGTCCTGATCCAGTAGGACCTGCTCTAGAAAATAACTTGGGATGCTTCTTGTGGACCTGCTGGGCAAGAAGATGACCTCCAATAATCCCAAGTTAAAAAAAAAAAAAAGTATCATACATGACAAATCAGTATCATACACGGCAAATACAAAAAACAAGCATCCCAAACCATCTGCTAGGACGTTCAAAATCCCAAGGGATGAATCTGATGATCTGTTCATCAACTGCAGAAACCCACAATAAACTGAGGGATATAACACCCTTCTCTATATTCACACAGAATAGGGATGGTATCCTTTGTCACTATCTGGACAAGTTTCCTGAGTTTATGACAGAAAGACATAAGCATAACTGACTGCTCTGAAGTCCAGTACACTAACTGGTAAACTGTGTTCTTTCACAGACCATAAGTCCCGTCACAAATCCTTGTGGACTAAGGATCTTGCTGCAGGTTGTTCAGCTGCTTCCCAAGTCTACCAGAATTGTGCAAGCAGACAGCCTGAGGACCAGACCAAGAGCAGGGTAATTGTCAGACTCTACTGGATAAACAAACTAGGACTGATGTCAGCACATCCTAACCACACTCTGTGGCCTCCCTGAGTCTTCCAGGGCCCCCAGGAAAGGCCTTTCACTGTTCATAAACAGAGGCTTTGGCAGAAAGGGCTTTCATTGTTCATAAACAGAGGCTTTCGCAGAAAAAGAAAGGGACAAGCCAGCTCCTGATGCAGTACCTTAAGGCACAATTCACCTGACTATATGCAGTCACCTCCTTTGAATGAACTGTGCCCCACATTCAATAGGCTAGCTCTATGCTAGATGTAAAACACACTTACAGTAGCGTGTCATCTCAAATAGAGATGCTTACACTGTAGCTATTCTAGCCTCTCAGGACCAAAGTCCACAAAGGAACATTCCTGATGGCTAACCTTAAAAGTAGGGCCCAGCACGTAAAATGAAGATCCAGCCATACAGCAAAGCTTCATCATAAACTAACTAGCTATTCAGAAGAACCACAAGGGAGAGCTATACTTCATTCCCTTTATAAACCCTTAGATGCATACTTACAGTATGCCTGCGCTGGCACTGCTAGGTTAAAAGCAATTCTACGGCCAGAAATCTTCATATACAGGTTCTTACTTTACGCTGTGACTGCACATACTGACATCACGCTCAAGAAACACCTATAAATCCTAAACTCATCTACTTAAACACGTACTAAAATTCAATTAAAAGCAAAAACTACTTTGGCCATCATATAGACTCATTGTTAAGTAAAGTTTCAACTGCTAAGCAGTATTTGATAGTAAGAGCTCCCTAGTGGAAAGAGAAATAATTCATTATGCTTTGCTTCATTAGCCATTCAAGTTCTATTTGACACAGCCTGAAAAACAGATTTTTAAAATGTAGTTAGTACAATGTCTTTTCCAGCACATTTAATCTGTAGCTTCTGTATTCCCAAATATGTACACTGCTTCTGTATCCCCAGAACGCTCAGGGCCACCCTTGTCCTATGCCTTCTTTTCCGCCATCAGTCATACAGGGAACCAGAAAGAAAAAGCAATTAAGTTAAAAAATTAACTTTTCTTGGCTATGTTAGTTTTAATGTAGACCAGTTTCTCAATCCAATTTACCAAGCAGCTACATATGTGCATGTTCACATAAGGAGAGGAGCAATGGGACAGAAGCAGGCAAAACTGATTGTTTCAGCATCTAGATATCTGAAGTGTTCCTCTAACCAGTTTACTAATCGTTTATCTCTAAATACATTTGTGCATATACTAGTCTCATTATCTGCTCTGACTAGCTGAACAAACAAGCCATGAAATTTCCCTCCAACAAGCCTGTACCTTCTCACTGAGCTTTAACACTTTCAAAAGACACCCACTAAGGCATTTTAAGAAGCATCAGTAGTATTGTTCACACCGCAAACACTGCCCATTAGCGTTTTTTTAAAAACGTTAAGTATAGCACGCAGGACTTTCCTTACCTTTTGTTGAACTCTTCAAGCTCTGCTCTCAGTTTTCCTATTTCAATCTGTAGTCTAGCCCTCTCTTTGGCGGTTTCATCCAGAACTCTTCGAGCATCAGCCAGTTCAGACTCATAGAGATTCTTGATTCCACTCACCTAAAGTTAAGGGAAAATTATCATTCAGACATGAGAACATTCCAAACGGAGCATCAATGAACCAAAACAAAGCATCAGATTCTTCGAAAAAAGATGTATGATCTGATTTGTTGTTTAAGAATGTTGCACATGGAAACATTTGGAATTAATGTGCACCTATAGTTAAGATTTATGTTCAACTGAGAATAAAAATTAACATGTTGTATGCTTGAAGTGCACAAGTCTTCTAAAGAGCTAAACTGAAGTGGGTGAGTACACTCTGCTATCAGATCTTAAATTATTCTCCCTCATTTCCAATACTGCCGATTGTCAGTATTGCATTTGCAGCAGTAACATCATTTAAAAATAAAATACAAAGGACTTATTAGAATACAGGTCTGAGGTCCAATTCAATTCTGCTGCACTTGCACTATTAGCTAAAGAAGAACCTGAAACAAGATGAACAGGTCATGTTTCTGTAATTCAGAGATGAGCTTCCACTCCTATTCTCTACCTCAGAGGATGAGGATCTACAGACCTCTCCCTGTCCCAAGACCACAAAAAGAAAAAAAACACACTCAAAAAAAATTAGCTATTCACACTGCAACCAGCCACCTGCAAGTCTTCCTTCCTTTTATTTTTTTCAGGACAAAAGAGCATCCAAGAGGTATGTCAGATAGCTAAGATTTCAAGATCATATGAGATTACTGCTATTGCTTCTATCAAAGGATACCAGAACAGCTATTACTAATGTAAATTCAAAAACGGAGCAATCAGGTGTGGGAAAAATTGAAAACAGAACATACCACCTTTAGGAAGAAAAAATCTGATAGGAACACTTAAGACGCAGAGACAAGAAAATAAACTGTGCTATTCCTAGGAACGCCTATTCCAGCATCAGTGACACCAGTGACAGACTGAACCATCTAGTCCTCAAAGAGTGGTTAAAAGCAATCAGAATATAATTAGGTTCTTGATTGACTATATTCTCATAAAACTCCTGAAATGAGCTCAGATATGACAGTCTGAGGGCTAAGAAACCTTAGTTTACAAGCATATTGCATAACAAACTACTTTGTTTGCTACCCATGAAATCTTACTCTTCTGTAACAAATTAATTCCTTCAAGACTTACTCAGCTGAAGTTTTGTTTTCATAGCTGATAGTTAAAGATTGTCTGTAGCACAAGCCAACACAACTCATCATCAGTTACAAAATTTAGGAACCTCTATGCAGAAGTGCACCATGACTATGCCAGGATCCTTCATAGGACACTCTGCAATGCTAAGGGGGGGGGGAGGGAGGGGGGAAAGTATTTTAAGGCTACAAAGTCTCTCATTAGGGATGACCCTTCAGTGCCATTCATAAGGCTACAGCGAACTTACCCAGCATATGAAGACAAGCACCAATACTTTTTGTTTAACTATTGTGAGGGAAAGCTCATGATCTTGTAAACTGAAATGCATTAGACATGAAAAAGTCTGCTCTAAAAAAGAATTAATACTCCTTCCCAAGAGGTGGAAAACGCTCAACCTTCAGATTAAAGCCTCTAACATTAATCCTTCTATTTTCTTTAAAAAAGAAATCAAGTTGCATTTCATATGCTATGTAAGCTGAATATATATGACTCACCATGATTTTTTTTTATTAAAACCTATTTACTACTGAATCTTCACTAGCAAGTGAACTGACATTTCAAATCTTTTTTTTTCCGGTCCTACTCTAACAGGTATCTAATACTGCATGTTGCATTCTTGAGGCCAGGTACCTCATTTTCAAGTGCTGTAATATACAATATTGACATGTCAATATTTCTTTTGGGATCCGGCCCTGGTGATTTTGCAGCCTGCACAGAACCTAAAGAAACACAAAATACAACTGGCCAATAGCCAAGCACTGATTCTGCACTATTAGGTACTGCATCCACAACACTTTCCTCTAATGCCTTGACCAGCTGGCCATCTTTAGAGCAACTATTAAACCTGCTAAAGTACTTACCCTAGGATGTTCGTCAAGAACTTGGGACTATATTACTGTAGCCTCGGGGAGATACGCTAAGTCATAGCGCAGTGCACAAGGACAAACTCCTCCTCAGTACTCTAGAGCATAAATGGGAATTGCAGCCCAAGAAACAATGGGAGAAAGTCTTTTTTCCTTAGTTTGGTGTGAACAGCGCCACAAAAAGGTGTTGCAAGCATTCCAACAGTGATAGGCAGCAAATAATTTATGCTCCTGAGGCATTCCAGAATATATGCAGCTTAGAAGCACCCAAACAATACTCTGAATTGAGAATAGATACTTAATGCAATTTCTGCCTATAGAAAAGAAAGCTAGACTGAGATAAAAACTGCATGATGAAAGCCATTTTAGAATCCATTGATAAAAAGACTGTGCTTTTTAATTAAAAAGGCCTGACTCACATTCTCTGAATAACTAGCTGTGGTAGCTTAGCATGTTTCTCCTCCTGTAGCATGTTAACCTCTGCTCTGACAGTATTTCAGTAACAAGGATGAGAAAAAGCCACCTCTACTAGCATTTTAAGCTAATCCTCTGAATAGACAGAAGTAACTGAGACACAGGTACACATAGCAGCTTCCAGCACAGGGAGGCAGCAGACAGCTAGGAGCAGTAACACCTTCAATTACTGCAGGAAATAAAGAATTCATCAGAACTTTAATAACAGGACACAAAAAGAGTATGCTCCGTGATAAAGTTGACAGAAATTTTAGATGATCAAACTGATCTGGAGGACAATTCAAAAAGGTTTTCCTACATTGTAAGAAAACTACATACTGTTTATTTTCAGCACTGATTGGTGGGGAAGAGAAATAGACACAGCAGTAGGCCATAAAAAAAAAAACAAAACAAAAAAACACACACTGCCGCCAGCTGAGATGAGCTATATTGGTATTGTGCGCTTGACAACACTTCTGGCCCAAGCTGACGATTCATTGAAAGCACCAGAAAAAGCAGTTTTTCCTCATACCCCTGGCAATGAGAGAAAGTCTGGCCAAGTATTTCTGTTCCTGAGACCATCAACCCTCAAACTCCGTTCTCGTGGAAGGAACACAACTGAGAGTCCACTGACTTCCTGAAAACTTCCAGAGTAGGCTGGCCCAGAGAGTGCCTCTGTTTAGCATACATCTATGATTTTGTTTTGAATCTACAAACTCTTTTGCCTCTCCCTTTTTGTTATTACTTTGCACCTGCTACTCAGCTTACTCTCCAGTACAGTGATACTTCCAGCGCACATTCTCAAAAAGGTGTTAGTCCAAAACACGACCTCTTAGGACAAACCTTTCATACTCTTTCTGGACAAAAAAAAGAAAAAAGGTAATAGGAACAGCAGCCAGTATCCACAGCACCAAGAGAAGGAAGTTCAGTAGATTCATCTGACAATTGTGAAGCTCATTTCTGGTGCTTTGCCTCATCACACTTCTGAGCAAAGTGCCACCGGACAGTGTCAGCAGTTCCTGGAACATTTACAAAGAGTACTGGGCACTAAGAGATAACTGCCTGACATCATCTTCTGTTTCTTGTCATTTTCTAGCTATCACTAGAATCAATCTATTCAAATTCCTTTCACTCATTTGTTGTTTCTCATCATCTGCTCCCCGCATTTGGGAAAGACTTTTAGAGTAAGGATGTATCTATGTCAATCCTTCCAGCACAAGCCAGTAAGAAGAGCAGCTGGTAGCAAATGCTGAAGAGAAAAAGCATAGGGAACAAGGCAAACCTAGAATGATTCTTCACTAATATATATACTCAGCTGCTTAAAAATAAAAATAAAAAAGAGAGAGAGAGAGAGAAAAAACGTTTCCAGACATCAAATTCAGTAGTCACAGTGTTGTTAATTTGCCCGATCCCTTTGTAAACACCTTTATTTTTTAATTTTCACAACATCCATGACCATCATACAAGCATGAGTTGATTAAGAACTACTGCTTGATGATTTACTTTGAAAGAAAGGTTTTGTATTGTGAGAGAATATTTGCTTCCTAGAGCAATCTCTTCCTTTAGATTTGTGACTTAAGAGATCTTAGCTTTCTTCTTGTCTCTTTTCCAAATTTGCTCTTGGACAGAATTTTTTTGCTGCTCTGCTCATCTTTGTCACCTTTTCCTTACACACTTTTTCCAGAGCATAGCTGTTTTTAGAACACGGTTAAGAGAATTGCAAATAACATTCAAAATACAGAAAAAACATTGACTTACACAGTGAGTACTGGCCACCATAAAGGAAAACAAGGACACTCCAGAAAATCAGAAAAGAAGAAAATGCAGTAATTCTAACAGACTTCAAGTATTTCAAGATGTAATTCAGCATATGAAAACATAGCTTGGGCATTATATGTAAAATGAACAGTAATGACAGTGTCATGGAGCGGCTAATCCAGGAATCACAGAATGGTTGAGGTTGGAAGGGACCTCTGGAGATCATCTAGTCCAACCTCCCTGCTCAAGCAGGCTCACCTAGAGCATATTGCCCAGGATCACATCCAGACGGGTTTTGAATATCTCCAGCAAAGGAGACTCCACTACCTCTCTGGGCAACCTGTTCCAGTGCTCTGTCACCCTCACAGTGAAGAAGTTTTTTCTCAGGTTCAGGTGGAACTTCCTGTGGTTCAGTTTCTGCCCATTGCCTCTTGTCCTGTTGCTGGGCATCACGGAGAAGAGGCTGAATCTAGTTGGAGGCCTCAGAATCTAGTTGGAGGCCTGTAGCTAGCGGTGGGTGTCCCGCATGGGTCAGTCCTGGGTCCAGTCTTGTTCAATGTATTCATCAATGACCTGGAGGAAGGCACAGAGTGCACCCTCAGCAAGTTTGCTGATGATACTAAACTGGGAGGAGAGGCTAACACACCAGAAGCCTGTGCTGCCATTCAGAGGGACCTGGACAGGCTGGGGGGGGGGGGGGGGGAGGACACACC